TAAATATCCTCTGTCTGATTTCCCCTCAGAGAGGCCATCCTGACCCAGGAGGGAGACAGCAGAGAGGACATCATCAGTGAGTTCAACCTTTATCTGATTTAATCACTGGTACGGAGGCCAACAGGTGCAAACACGGGGGACACTAAAGAGTGACGCACACAGCTGGGAGACCAGGGGACACTAAAGAGTGACGCACACAGCTGGGAGACCAGGGGACACTAAAGAGTGACGCACACAGCTGGGAGACCAGGGGACACTAAAGAGTGACGCACACAGCTGGGAGACCGGGGGACCCCTAAAGAGTGACGCACACAGCTGGGAGAGACCGGGGGACACTAAAGAGTGACGCACACAGCTGGCGAGACCGGGGGACACTAAAGAGTGACGCACACAGCTGGGAGACCGGGGGACACTAAAGAGTGACGCACCCACAGCTGGGAGACCAGGGGACACTAAAGAGTGACGCACACAGCTGCGGAGGACCGGGGGACACTAAAGAGTGACGCACACAGCTGGGAGACCGGGGGACACTAAAGAGTGACGCACACAGCTGGGAGACCGGGGGACACTAAAGAGTGACGCACACAGCTGGGAGACCGGGGGACACTAAAGAGTGACGCACACAGCTGGGAGACCAGGGGACACTAAAGAGTGACGCACACAGCTGGGAGACCAGGGGACACTAAAGAGTGACGCACACAGCTGGGAGACCAGGGGACACTAAAGAGTGACGCACACAGCTGGAGACCAGGGGACACTAAAGAGTGACGCACACAGCTGGGAGACCAGAGGACACTAAAGAGTGACGCACACATCTGGGAGACCAGGGGACACCAAAGAGTGACGCACACAGCTGGGAGACCAGGGGACACTAAAGAGTGACGCACACAGCTGGGAGACTAGGGGACACTAAAGAGTGACGCACACAGCTGGGAGACCAGGGGACACTAAAGAGTGACGCACAGAGCTGGGAGACCAGGGGACACTAAAGAGTGACGCACAGAGCTGGGAGACCAGGGGACACTAAAGAGTGACGCACAGAGCTGGGAGACCAGGGGACACTAAAGAGTGACGCACAGAGCTGGGAGACCAGGGGACACTAAAGAGTGACGCACAGAGCTGGGAGACCAGGGGACACTAAAGAGTGACGCACAGAGCTGGGAGACCTGGGTTGCGGTCAAATAATCCAAAAATCAGCTACTAAATTCTAACCCTATCGTCTACCCCTTGACCTCTGAGTGAAAGGTCACGGGGTTAAGGGATAGTGGATAGGAGAATTCAAAAGGACTTAGGAGAAGAGACTGCGGTACTTTAGAGAATCCGACTGCACTTTCACTATCCCACGTGTTTATGATGCTCCAGCGGAGGTCATAAATGTGCGCCTGCTGCTGTGGGGAAACTATGGAAACTACAGTTTTCTATACAGCGGACTACAACATGGATGTTTAATAAGAACGAGGGACTACTGTAAACTCATCTAGAGACTCTGCACCGTGCTCTGATGCTGTTATGCTTTATGAACGGGGACAACAGAGAAACATATTCTTCATGACCAAAGTTGGAATTGAAATAAAAAAGGAAAGTGAAACTTATGCTCGTCACCCTCTCCCTCCGGTCCACATTAATACAAATGATCCCAATACGTATGATTGTATGAAAAGATCTTAAAATCAATACAAATGTATTAATTATACACAGTGATAGATGTTAACGACTAACGTTTATAATTAATACATTTGTATTGATTATAAGATCTTTTCATACAGTCATACGTATTGGGATCATTTGTATTAATGTGGACCGGAGGGAGAGGGTGACGAGCATAAGTTTCTCTTTCCTTTCCTATGTTTCTCTGTTGTCCCCGTTCATAAAGCATAAAACCTGCATCGTCTTTCCTTGTCTCAGAAATGCTGGAGGAGTCTCCGTCTCACCTGGAGTCTGAGGACATCGAGGACCTGTTCTCTCTGGCGCAGTATTACCAGAGCAAGACTCCTCTGTCTCTGAGGAAGGTGAGGCTCTTTGTCCACAGACGGTGATGAGCGTAAACAGAGGACTCTTTGTTCCTGAGATCTTTGTTTCTTTACTATTTACTTCATATACTTTCTAAAGAACATTTTAACCATCATTACACCATTGAATATTGTTTATACTATTTTTTATTTGTAATAGTTCACTCTTTTCCACGTGTAAGTATCTGTATTGTAATGTAGAGCACTCTGGTGTGGTATTACTAAAGGCTTTGTGTCTCTGTCTGGCAGATGAACCAGAACCTGTTCGGCAGCTCTCTGGTGGCTCTGAAGGAGGAGGACACTGATCTGAGTCAAGCTCTGTGTCTCCCTGTGTCTGTCCCTGAGATCCTGCAGGCCAACCAGCTGCAGCAGGTCAGCCCCCCCACACCCACATGCTTCAGAACTCATCACTGCAGAGCAGCGGTTCCTAACCTTTATCCACTCAGGGCTCACTTAAGAATCTAAACACATGTTCCACCTTCAACCGTGAACAATACGGAGGCTAAAGAAAGTTCTCAGAGTAATTAGAAAAGGATTCAGTAACAAACAGACATTTTGATTACACGGTTTAGTTGAATACTCGATTTCTGATTGGTCCATTCAGAACACGTGACACGTTGTAAATCCAGTAGAACAGACCGCTGTCAAGGACTGTAATGACCGTTGTAAGCAGGAGGACAGAATAACGTCTAAACTGACGCCGTTTTGCATTTCTATAGGTGGTAGATACGAGCATGGTTTTATATACTATCACGTTTAATCGTGTTTTATGCCGTTTGCCAAGACTTGATAAGTGGCTCGTAAAACCCAGGAGGTATGGAAACTAAGAACACCATATGTGGTAAACAGCTAATATAACACAACACATTGTATTTCCTTTAACTGGTGGATTATGGAGATATAGTTGCTGATCGACAGCTGGAACACAAACCACCAAATACAACACAATCATTCAGATCCAGTCGTCATGACTACACTCCGGAGGGATTCCCCCATCATTTCTTACAGTTTCTCATCAGGGGGGGGTCTCCTGTCCCCGGGACAAACACACTGCCTGAGGAAGGTTATGTGTATTTATTTTGTCATTAACTTTTTTCGGACCACTTATTTATTTATGTTGGTGACGATCCGTCCTCCATGCTGCTCCTCTGGTTCAAACTGCATCCACCAAACAATATGATTTATCTCCACCTCCACACAATAACCAAAACCTGACTCGGTGTGAGAGATGTCTCTTTTAGCTGTTCTGTCCTCATTTCCTGATCTACTTCATGCAGTCAGTCAGAATGAATGGATGAATGAATGAATGGATGAATGGATGAATGAATGAATGGATGAATGGATGAATGAATGAATGAATGGATGAATGAATGGATGGATGGATGAATGAATGAATGGATGGATGGATGAATGAATGGATGGATGGATGGATGGATGGATGGATGGATGGATGGATGAATGGATGGATGGAATGAATGAATGGATGGATGAATGAATGAATGAATGGATGGATGGATGGATGGATGAATGGATGAATGAATGAATGGATGGATGGATGAATGGATGGATGAATGGATGAATGAATGGATGGATGGATGAATGGATGAATGAATGGATGGATGAATGGATGAATGGATGAATGAATGGATGGATGAATGGATGAATGAATGGATGAATGGATGGATGAATGGATGAATGAATGGATGGATGGATGGATGAATGGATGAATGGATGAATGGATGGATGGATGGATGGATGGATGAATGAATGAATGAATGAATGGATGAATGGATGGATGAATGGATGAATGAATGGATGGATGGATGGATGAATGGATGAATGGATGAATGAATGGATGGATGGATGGATGGATGAATGGATGAATGAATGGATGAATGGATGGATGAATGGATGAATGAATGGATGAATGATGGATGGATGGATGGATGAATGGATGAATGGATGAATGGATGGATGGATGAATGAATGAATGGATGGATGGATGAATGGATGGATGGATGGATGGATGGATGAATGAATGAATGAATGGATGGATGGATGAATGGATGGATGAATGGATGAATGAATGGATGGATGGATGGATGGATGAATGAATGGATGGATGAATGAATGGATGGATGAATGGATGGATGGATGGATGAATGGATGAATGAATGGATGAATGAATGGATGAATGGATGAATGGATGGATGAATGGATGGAATGAATGGATGAATGGATGGATGGATGAATGGATGGATGAATGGATGAATGGATGGATGAATGGATGAATGAATGGATGAAGGATGGATGGATGGATGGATGAATGAATGGATGATGAATGGATGGAATGGATGATGGATGATGAATGAGGATGAATGGATGGATGAATGGATGAATGGATGGATGGATGAATGGATGGATGAATGGATGAATGAATGGATGAATGGATGGATGAATGGATGAATGAATGGATGAATGGATGGATGGATGGATGAATGAATGGATGAATGGATGGATGGATGAATGGATGGATGAATGGATGGGCGTTTCTTTGACTATTTATAGACACATATGGGCGTTACGTGAAGCCCGCAAAAGCTGCGCCGCATTTCGAGTTGATTGTGATTTATAAAGGGAAACCGGCGTAGGACGTGCCGTACGCAAGTCCTGCGCCGGTACGCAGTCTTTTATGAACTCGGAAAAATGTCTTGCGTATTTATTTGCTTTGTCCTACGTAAGCAACCTTCCCACGTCAACCCTACGGAAGGCTTTATAAATGAGGCCCCAGGCCATCAGTAACAAACAGACATTTTGATTACATGGTTTAGTTGAATACTCGATTCTGATTGGTCCATTCAGAACATGTGACACGTTGTAAATCCAGTAGAACAGACCACTGTCAAGGACTGTAATGACCGTTGCTCAGGCATTCAGAATGCTACTAGTACCCAACAGTCCAGGAGGAGAGCAGTTGTTGGAGCAGTTTGTGCATCCCTCTGCGTGGTCAGTCCTCTGCGTGGTCAGTCCTCTGCGTGGTCAGTCCTCTGCGTGGTCAGTCCTCTGCGTGGTCAGTCCTCTGCGTGGTCAGTCCTCTGCGTGATCAGCCCTCTGCGTGGTCAGCCCTCTGCGTGGTGATCAGCCCTCTGCGGGGTCAGCCCTCTGCGTGATCAGTCCTCTGCGTGGTCAGCCCTCTGCGTGATCAGCCCTCTGCGTGGTCAGCCCTCTGCGGGGTCAGGTGGTCAGCCCTCTGCGTGGTCAGCCCTCTGCGTGGTCAGCCCTCTGCGGGGTCAGCCCTCTGCGTGGTCAGCCCTCTGCGTGGTCAGCCCTCTGCGGGGTCAGCCCTCTGCGTGGTCAGCCCTCTGCGTGGTCAGCCCTCTGCGGGGTCAGCCCTCTGCGTGGTCAGCCCTCTGCGGGGTCAGCCCTCTGCGGGGTCAGCCCTCTGCGTGGTCAGTCCTCTGCGTGGTCAGCCCTCTGCGTGGTCAGCCCTCTGCGGGGTCAGCCCTCTGCGTGGTCAGCCCTCTGCGTGGTCAGCCCTCTGCGGGGTCAGCCCTCTGCGTGGTCAGCCCTCTGCGGGGTCAGACCTACATCCAGCGGGCCTTTGAAGCCAGATATTGCAGCTTTGAGGAGGGCGATGCACATCAACACTGAAATCAACGCTTACAGCTCATGTGCACGGAGATTAATGTTGTATTGGTCTGGCTGTAACTCTCAGGTTAGTTTGCAGAAGGAGAAGATGTCATGTGATTTATTTGTGTTTCAGGACGGGGTGCGTTTCTTCGTGGTGGATTGTCGGCCTGCAGAGCAGTACAACGCGGGACACCTGTCCACCGCCTTTCACCTGGACTCTGACCTGGTGAGCACCTGCATCTCATCCAGGAAACTCAGTTAATGTTCAACATCTAGCCAGCTGACCAATCAGAGCACACTGGGCTCACAGGACACAGGACACCTGAACATCAGCAGGAGAGGACTCTTTAAAGTAGAGACACTACATACTGATATACACCTGAACATCAGCAGGAGAGGACTCTTTAAAGTAGAGACACTACATACTGATATACACCTGAACATCAGCAGGAGAGGGACTCTTTAAAGTAGAGACACTACATACTGATATACACCTGAACATCAGCAGGAGAGGACTCTTTAAAGTAGAGACACTACATACTGATATACACCTGAACATCAGCAGGAGAGGACTCTTTAAAGTAGAGACACTACATACTGATATACACCTGAACATCAGCAGGAGAGGACTCTTTAAAGTAGAGACACTACATACTGATATACACCTGAACATCAGCATGAGAGGACTCTTTAAAGTAGAGACACTACATACTGATATACACCTGAACATCAGCAGGAGAGGACTCTTTAAAGTAGAGACACTACATACTGATATACACCTGAACATCAGCATGAGAGGACTCTTTAAAGTAGAGACACTACATACTGATATACACCTGAACATCAGCAGGAGAGGACTCTTTAAAGTAGAGACACTACATACTGATATACACCTGAACATCAGCAGTAGAGGACTCTTTAAAGTAGAGACACTACATACTGATATACACCTGAACATCAGCAGGAGAGGACTCTGAGAACTCTCTACTTTAAAGAGTACTACATGTGTCTCCTGTCTCCTCCAGATGCTGCAGAATCCCTCTGAGTTCTCCCTCTCAGTGAAGTCTCTCCTGGAGGCTCAGAAACAGTCCTTAGAGTCGGGATCCGTTGCCAGCGGGGAACACCTCTGCTTCATGGGCAGCGGGCGGGAGGAGGAGGACATGTACATGAACATGGTGCTCGCTCACTTCCTTCAGGTGAGGAGAGGAAGCTCTAAGATTAGTGTTGGGAAAACACTGAATGTCCTCTTCCAATATCAGAGTAACATGATAACAAAACAATGATAACAGAATTTTGAGATTCTTAGAAAAAGTCAGAATTTAGAAATTTTGAGAAAAAGTGAATTTTGAGATTTTGAAAGAAATGTCAGAATTTTGAGGAAAATGTTGAGATTTTTATAAAAAGTCAGAATTTTGAGATTTTAAGAAATAAACACAGCAGCATACATGTATGTGCTCATATTCTCATTTCATCTGAGTTCAGCAGGCAGACCCCCTCTCCACTCTCCTCTGTGGTAAAGTAGTGAGGGCTGGCTCCGGCTTCACATGCACATCTTGTTGATCCTTTATTTTAATCACATTATTGTTGTCAATAGGATTATCTGTGTATTTTTTTTTCCAACAATATTTGTATTTAGATTTTTAACAACAGTTGAAAAAAGAAACGAAAGGCCATTCAAATCTAAATGAACTCAGATGTGCCTAATCTCTATAACAAATCAAGCGTGTTAATTATTATTATAGATAGTAATTGTTATATAACGTGCATATACAAGTCTACAAGCTGCATCGTTAATGTAATTTCATCTTGTTTTGTTCATCATTGCAAAGCCTGCTGAGTTAATGTGGTAATAAAGGGTTATATAAATACAACTTAAATATTCTTCCTGTTAGGAAACACAAATCACTCACTGGCCCCTTTATTAGGTACACCTGTTCAACTGCTCGTTAACGCAAATATCTAATCAGCCAATCACATGGTCCACATCACGGTGCTATCAAGGTGTTCCATGTTTGCTAACAGGAGTTTCTCTGTTCCAGAAAAACAAAGAGTACGTCAGCATTGCTAAAGGAGGATTCATGGGTAAGTCATTTCTTAATCTAGATTTAAACTTGATACAGGAATATCCACATGCTCTGATGCTTTAGATCAGGGGTGGGGAACCCCCGGCCCCCAGGGCCGTATACGGCCCGCGAGACCATTTGGTACGGCCCGCGAGGTAATTTATAAACGCACGCAAAAAAAAATTAAAGAAATCTAGACCGCAAAATAATTAAACAAGCGAGTGCCTGTTTTTCCTGGGTTAGGTCAGGGTCCTTGAACACAACACGAGCCTAACGTGTCATCACGTGGTATATGTCTCGTCTGACAGGGGTGCAGGTCTGCCGGAGAGCACCAGAACGCCGCTCCGTACACATGCCGCAGTTTCTGCGTGGCTGTGTCTTTAGTTGAAAGCCCAGTGGAGATCTGCTCATCTGTCACACTGATCATACAGTCAATCACTTTGCTGTCATTAGCATCTGGTTAGCTAGCTATGCTAACGGATATAAGAAGCTTTTTCTACAACCAGTGAGGTAAAGGCACATCTTTATATGATCATTATAGTTATACAAAAACAAGAGAATAAACGGGTATAAAATACTATATGACAGTAGAAATCTGCTTCCAGTTGTGTTTCATATGTTGAGAGATGTTTCCATAGATCTCTCCATGTTGCTCTCAAAGTGCACCAGATTGATGCTTTCAACTTCAACATTTTAAAACAAATCTTCCCGTACCCCCCTAGAGGATGTTAGGTCCCCCCTAGAGGAGGTTAGGTCCCCCCTAGAGGATGTTAGGTCCCCCCTAGAGGAGGTTAGGTCCCCCCCCCCCCCACTTAAATCATGTCCACATGGATAGGAAACTAAATACATTTGCACACATCTTGTGTCCATATCTTTCTGTTTGGGTGGTCATGCCACACCGTGCATGCATGCCACACCGTGCACGTGCATGCATGCCACACCGTGCACGTGCATGCATGCCACACCGTGCACGTGCATGCATGCGTGAGTCATGGTGAGATATCTGGATTCAGAGGTTGCTGTTTCTTTGCACAGCATGAGAGAAAGAAGAAATGAATGGGCTGTGATTTTAGTATTTTTAAGCAGAGGTCAATAATTTGTACGGCCCTCGGAGGATGTTGTAAAAATGTAAATGGCCCTTGAGAGGAAAAAGGTTCCCCACCCCTGCTCTAGATATATTAAGCTGTGCATATATGGAAGGGGATTAGGGCCAGAAAGGGATTTTTTTGTTTGAGTAACTAGTATTAAAAGCCAGTGCAAACAATAATAAATAAATGCAATAAGTTATTTCTTTGCCACCCTGCAGGCCTAGTCTGAAGAATGCTCTAGGTGCACACGTTCTTCTGCTATAAATACAGTTTGAGTGTCTGGCCTGGATCAGAGACTTGTTATAAGTGTGAACTCGGAGATGTGTCTGTGATTGCAGCTCTCCAGAAGCACCTGGTGGACATGAACATTGAGGGTCTGGACTCGTCGTACCTGCACTGGATCGTCAGCACGTCAGGATCCAGCCTCTGCTCTCCAGACGTAAGACCCCCGAAACATCACGATAAATAACGGGTTCACAAACAGACTCTGATATTGTTAGGAAAAATCTTTTTTTCTCAAAAATCTCAAAATTCAGACTTTTTCTGAATACTTACAAAAGTTAATAATCACTGGTCAGCGTCTTGAGCTTCAATCTCAGGATCCATGTATTTATGATCCTCTCAACAATAGAAGTATTAAAAAAAAAAAAAAAGAATTCGTTGGTATTTTTCTCAAAATCTCAACAATTCTGACTTTTTCCTCAAAATTCGGACTTTTTCTAAAAATCCTGACTTTTTCAAAAAATCCTGACTTTTTCTCAAATATGAAAAATCTGACTTTTTCTCAAATCTAAAAATTCTGACTTTTCCTCAAGAATTTGACTTTTTCTCAAAAAAATGAAAAATATTACTTTTTCTCAAAAATAGGAATTTCTCAAAAATCTCAAAAATATGACTTTTTCTCAAAAATCTCAAAAATCTGACTTTTTCCTCAAAATTCGGACTTTTTCTAAAAATCCTGACTTTTTCAAAAAATCCTGACTTTTTCTCAAATATGAAAAATCTGACTTTTTCTCAAATCTAAAAATTCTGACTTTTCCTCAAGAATTTGACTTTTTCTCAAAAAAATGAAAAATATTACTTTTTCTCAAAAATAGGAATTTCTCAAAAATCTCAAAAATATGACTTTTGCTTAAAATCTCAAAAATATGACTTTTTCTGAATACTTAAAAATGTTAATAATCACTAGTCCCCAGTTTGAGCTTCAACCTCAGGATCCATGTATCTGTGATCCTCTCCAGAATGGAAGGAGTCATCACATACAGAGCATCAACTAGTTCCTGAACAGTGTCCTTCACATGCTGATATCCAAGAGAGGGAGTTACACAGTCACAAGATGGAGGAATAGAAAGCAGTATTCAATGTTTACTTCAGATTAGCTCCACGTCAGAAATGAGCATGCTTGTCATATGTCTATCTCCATAGAGGCTGAATCATCATGTTCATCACATAGCTATCATATGGCTCAAACAGTCCTGATGCTCTTCTAGGTAATCATACATCCTGTCATGTTCACAGCTACAGTTGGGATACCTTTGTTAGCATGCTACTCTCATGTTGGAAGAGGACGCTCAGTGTTCCCCATCAGTTATCTAACGTGTTCATGTGTCCTGCAGGGAGAGAGCGGCCCTGGAGACGGGAAGGGAGTGAAGTCTCTGGTCAACAAGATGACGTTTGCTTTCAAGTCAAAGTCTGTGAACGTGAAGGAGAAGATGATCAGCTTCATCGAGAACACCGCCACACCTGTCGACAGGTGAGAGGAGGCCTCCTGCTGGAAACAACACACACTGAACACACTCTTCATGTGTAGGGGTTTAACTCTTAAGGTTTGATGCAAAACGTATAAAACAGAAAACAAATGCCACATTTCTCTAGATTCACGATAATAATAATGCATTTTATTTACATAGACGTCTTTGAAGGCTCTCACGGTCTCCGTACAAGATTCACTCTGGACTCTCAGATCAGATATCTGTGGTCCTTTATTCGGTACTTTGATTATTATTATTTCATTATTTAAGTTTGACCGACCCTTGTGCTTCCACGCTAGAATGTCTTTCAATCTGCCGTGGCCCGAGAAGGTGGTTCCTGATCGGTAAGACTTCCTCCAGCTGTCTGTCAGCAGCATGGGATACACTAACGCATGCTGAGCCCCACCATGTCACACACACACTCGCACACACACTCACACTCACACTCACACTCACACGCACACGCACTCGCACATGCACATGCACACGCACACACAGGCACTCACAGACACAGGCACTCACACACACACACTCACACACACACACACACACCCCACTAACCTGCAGGAAGTGCTGAGTCCTCCCCTCCTCTGGAGAGGAGCTTCACAGCTGGAGATGCACTAAAGGGGAACCTCAGTATTTTCACACCTGGACACGGTTTTCTATTTGTTTTGTGTCCAAGTGGCTAGAGTGGATGTCCATTTATAAAAGTGGTCCAGCATTAAGGGAGAGTGGCAGCCTGCAGACGCTAAACATGGCTGAAATGTGATCCTTCATCCACTAAAGGTGAAAGTATTGTGCGCTGACCGGCTCTGTGTCGGCCAGTCGGTGGACGCTCACCAAAGAACTAAATACTGGACCAGTTAAGGAGACAAATAACTAGTCCAGGATCAATTGGACACAGAGGAAAAGTGTCCATGTGGGAACATCCTGAAGTTGGTAGTCTGTGTTTCCATCTCATTGTTCTTCAGGTGATAGTCAGGGCCGATCAGAATCACCTGATTATTTCCTGCTGACGGCCCTGAGTATCACTCCCTGACTAACCTCTGTATTAATGTCTCACTCTCTCTCAGGACGTCCTCATGCATTCAGTGTGTGTGTGTGTGTTCATCGTGATAGGTGTTCACGTGTTGTTCACTCCCGGTGTTTCTGTCCTCAGACATGTGAGCAGCAGTGACCGGGTGGGTAAACCGTACCGAGGAGTGAAGCCCGTCTTCAGCATCGGGGATGAAGAGGAGTACGACACAGGTACAGGAATCTCACCATCTCTTGGCACTCTATTCTTTTGTTTTGAAAAACCTCCTGAGCCTCTGGTGTCATTTTAGACGAGATCGACAGCTCGTCCATGTCCGACGACGACAGGAAGGAGATCGTGAACATCCAGACGTGGATCCACAAACCGGACGTGAAGCACCACATTCCCTGCAGCGAGGTGAAGGAGACCGGACACATGTTCCCCAGGTGAGACTACGTGTTCCCCGACGTGTTCCCCGACGTGTTCCCCGACGTGTTCCCCGACGTGTTCCCCGGCGTGTTCCCCGGGTGAGACTACGTGTTCCCCGGGTGAGACTACGTGTTCCCCAATGTGTTCCCCGGGTGAGACTACGTGTTCCCCAACGTGTTCCCCGGGTGAGACAACGTGTTCCCCAACGTGTTCCCCGGGTGAGACAACGTGTTCCCCAACGTGTTCCCCGGGTGAGACAACGTTAACGTGTTCCCCGGGTGAGACAACATGTTCCCCGGTGAGACAACGTGTTCCCCGGGTGAGACAACGTGTTCCCCGGGTGAGACAACGTGTTCCCCGGGTGAGACAACGTTAACGTGTTCCCCGGGTGAGACAACGTGTTCCCCGGGTGAGACTACGTGTTCCCCAACGTGTTCCCCGGGTGAGACTACGTGTTCCCCGGGTGAGACTACGTGTTCCCCGGGTGAGACTACGTGTTCCCCAACGTGTTCCCCGGGTGAGACTACGTGTTCCCCGGGTGAGACTACGTGTTCCCCAACGTGTTCCCCGGCTGAGACTACATGTTCCCCAACGTGTTCCCCGGGTGAGACTACGTGTTCCCCGGGTGAGACTACGTGTTCCCCAACGTGTTCCCCGGGTGAGACAACGTGTTCCCCGGGTGAGACTACGTGTTCCCCAACGTGTTCCCCGGGTGAGACTACGTGTTCCCCGGGTGAGACTACATGTTCCCCAACGTGTTCCCCGGGTGAGACTACGTGTTCCCCGGGTGAGACTACGTGTTCCCCGGGTGAGACTACGTGTTCCCCGGGTGAGACTACATGTTCCCCAACGTGTTCCCCGGGTGAGACTACATGTTCCCCAACGTGTTCCCCGGGTGAGACTACATGTTCCCCGGGTGAGACTACGTGTTCCCTGGGTGAGACTACGTGTTCCCCAACGTGTTCCCCGGGTGAGACAACGTGTTCCCCGGGTGAGACTACGTGTTCCCCGGGTGAGACTACATGTTCCCCAACGTGTTCCCCGGGTGAGACTACATGTTCCCCAACGTGTTCCCCGGGTGAGACTACGTGTTCCCCAACGTGTTCCCCGGGTGAGACTACGTGTTCCCCAACGTGTTCCCCGGGTGAAACAACGTGTTCCCCGGGTGAGACTACATGTTCCCCAACGTGTTCCCCGGGTGAGACTACGTGTTCCCCGGGTGAGACGACATGTTCCCCAACGTGTTCCCCGGGTGAAACAACGTGTTCCCCGGGTGAGACGACATGTTCCCCAACGTGTTCCCCGGGTGAAACAACGTGTTCCCCGGGTGAGACTACATGTTCCCCAACGTGTTCCCCGGGTGAGACGACGTGTTCCCCAACGTGTTCCCCGGGTGAAACAACGTGTTCCCCGGGTGAGACTACATGTTCCCCAACGTGTTCCCCGGGTGAGACGACGTGTTCCCCAACGTGTTCCCCGGGTGAAACAACGTGTTCCCCGGGTGAGACTACATGTTCCCCAACGTGTTCCCCGGGTGAGACGACGTGTTCCCCAACGTGTTCCCCGGGTGAGACAACGTGTTCCCCGGGTGAGACGACATGTTCCCCGGGTGAGACGACATGTTCCCCGGGTGAGACGACATGTTCCCCGGGTGAGACGACATGTTCCCCGGGTGAGACTACATGTTCCCCGGGTGAGACTACATGTTCCCCAACGTGTTCCCCGGGTGAGACAACGTGTTCCCCGGGTGAGACGACGTGTTCCCCGGGTGAGACGACGTGTTCCCCGGGTGAAACAACGTGTTCCCCGGGTGAGACTACATGTTCCCCAACGTGTTCCCCGGGTGAGACGACGTGTTCCCCAACGTGTTCCCCGGGTGAGACAACGTGTTCCCCGGGTGAGACGACATGTTCCCCGGGTGAGACGACATGTTCCCCGGGTGAGACGACATGTTCCCCGGGTGAGACGACATGTTCCCCGGGTGAGACGACATGTTCCCCGGGTGAGACTACATGTTCCCCAACGTGTTCCCCGGGTGAGACTACGTGTTCCCTAACGTGTTCCCCGGGTGAGACTACGTGTTCCCCAACGTGTTCCCCAACGTGTTCCCCGGGTGAGACAACGTGTTCCCCGGGTGAGACAACGTGTTCCCCGGGTGAGACAACGTGTTCCCCAGATGGTCCTGATCCATCTAAAGCAGTGCTTCTCAAAGTGTGGTCCGCACTCTCGCAGGAATATCTCCACAAAGGAGGGAGTTTCAGTTTGGACTGCATGATGTAGCCCAGAGCAACACCTTCCTCACACGTGTTGCCACTTGTTTGTACCATTTTCAGGCGATTTGTAATCTGTTCTAGAGGCAACTGTGGACCTCTGTCGCCTGTCAGCGCAACTTACATGATGCCAAAATTAAGGGCGGCGCCGGTCGTCGGCGGGCCGGTCGTCGGCGGGCCGGTCGTCGGCGGGCCGGTCGTCGGCGGGCCGGTCGACGGCGGGCCGGTCGACGGCGGGCCGGTCGTCGGCGGGCCGGTCGTCGGCGGGCCGGTCGACGGCGGGCCGGTCGTCGGCGGGCCGGTCGACGGCGGGCCGGTCGTCGGCGGGCCGGTCGACGGCGGGCCGGTCGACGGCGGGCCGGTCGTCGGCGGGCCGGTCGACGGCGGGCCGGTCGTCGGCGGGCCGCTGACGACCGGCCCGCTGACGACCGGCCGTTCTGTGATTCTCCAGAACACACAGATGGCCAGTCCGCCCCTGGTTACCCTGTATTCCACCGGGTCACCGCGGGGCAGACGGACCCGGTGGAATACAAGGTCTACCTCGTTTAGGAACCGTTAAGCAGAACCAAAATTGTGTATTTTGTATGGGTACCCGGTACCCAGCATTTTCTTATCGGTTCTCATCTGGAACCGAGTCGTACTACATACTACAATACGTGTATTTTGCATATCTCTCAGTAGCCAACGATCTGTAATAAATGTCGTCTACATTTCAGAAGAGGTGTAAAACCTAAGAGCATTTTAAAATCGCATTTGAACGAAATGCTGATATAATCTGTATTGTTGATTTATTGTGTGAACGAGCTGTTTCGTGTTTTTTCATCCAGCCACCTGCTGATCACAGCCTCCCACATGTACTGCCTGCGGGAGATCGCCTCCAGGAAAGGGTTCTCCTACATCCAGTCCAGACAGGCTCTGAACTCAGTGGTGAAGATCACGTCCAAAAAGAAGCACCCTGAACTCATCACCTTCAAGTTCGGCAGCAACAACTCAGCGGGGGTGGAGATCTCTGCCGTGGAGAGGTGTGTGTGTGTGTGTGTGTGTGTGTGTGTGTGTGTGTGTGTGTGTGTGTGTGTGTGTGTGTGTGTGTGTGTGGTGTGTGTGTGTGTGTGTGGTGTGTGTGTGTGTGTGTGTGTGTGTGTGTGTGTGTGTGTGTGTGTGTGTGGTGTGTGTGTGTGTGTGTGTGTGTGTGTGTGTGTGTGTGTGTGTGTGTGTGTGTGTGTGTGTGTGTGTGTGTGTGTGTGTGTGTGTGTGTGTGTGTGTGTGTGTGTGTGTGTTTTCGTGTGTGTGTGTGTGTGTGTGTGTGTGTGTTTCGTGTGTGTGTGTGTGTGTGTGTTTTCGTGTGTGTTTTCGTGTGTTCATTTCTGTTCTCTCCTCTCAGATATTTAATACCGAACGCCGGCGACGCCACGAAGGTGATCAAGCAGCAGATCATGAAGGTGCTGGACGCTCTGGAGAGCTCATAGAGGGGGGGGGGGCTCCAGCTGGACCCTAACTGTTAGAGGAGGAGAGTCTGTCTGTCCTCCTGCAGAGAGACTGTGTGTGTGTGAGGACACACTGAGTGTGTGTGGTGCTCCGCAGTCATCAAACATCTCACACTAACTTAAAAACCTCCCTCATGGTTTCCTTTGATCAAACTTCTCCCTCTGAACACCTTGACCCCTGGCCGACCTCTGGAGCTCCTGCTCCTCCGTCAGGTCTCTCTGCTTCCTCTCTGATCTGAGGCCTCTGTGTTTGGGTCTGGAAACACACAGATCCTCCAGGAACCTACAGTAATGTTCCTGCTGTAGTGATATGTATTCCTCTGTGTCACACGTGTTGCTCCAGACTGTGTCACTGTAGTCATCACGTGTTGTCTCAGAGAGAAGGCCCACATTTCTGTAATAACACACACCTGGAATATCTCGATGAATAAATAGCACTGCAGCTGAAAGGACAAACGTGTACTCCTGATGTTGGAGAGCCTTTTCCCATTTCTCCTCTCCTACAGCAGATTGAGGTTTCCCCGCAGTAACACGAATGGCTTGAGGGTGTGTAGAGGTGTGTGTGTGTGTGTGTGTGTGTGTATACCTATGCACACACACGTACAGCAGGATGTGTAAACTGCTCTGAACACCTTTGAGATGTTTCCTGAATATTCAGTGGTTCCTTTTTTTCCAGAGCAGGAAGTCTTTAACGGTTTCTGGGAGATCAGCTTGTCTCTGCTGTGTTGGAGCCGCTGTGGGAGAAAGACATGTTAATAAATATGGAGTGTGTGTGAGGGGGGGGGGGGGGGGGGGAATATTCTACATTTTCTGAGATAAATCCTAAATCCTAAATTTACAAGAAAGAAATCAGGAATATTTAATTTTTCCTTTAAATTTCAGATTTTTTTTTTTCACATTTCTGAAGTTTTTTCTTGTAAATCTTAAGTTATTATTCAAAAGGAAAACTAAAATCTAATTTACAGGAAAAATAAAATGATTCTTTTAATTTATTTTGGGATTTATGAGTTTTTCGTCATGAAAACATTTGTGAGTTATATTTCCAAACCCTTGCTCTCTGTAACTGAACGTCACCCCTCCTCTTCCTCTTCCTCTTCCTCTCATAGCAGCCCCTCTGACTCTTCCTCTTCCTCTCATAGCAGCCCCTCTGACTCTTCCTCTTCCTCTCATAGCAGCCCCTCTGACTCTTCCTCTTCCTCTCATAGCAGCCCCTCTGACTCTTCCTCTTCCTCTCACAGCAGCCCCTCAGACTCTTCCTCTCACATCTCATAGCAGCTCCTCTGACTCTTCCTCTTCCTCTCATAGCAGCTCCTCTGACTCTTCCTCTTCCTCTCATAGCAGCCCCTCTGACTCTTCCTCTCACATCTCATAGCAGCCCCTCTGACTCTTCCTCTCACATCTCATAGCAGCCCCTCTGACTCTTCCTCTTCCTCTCATAGCAGCCCCTCTGACTCTTCCTCTCACATCTCATAGCAGCCCCTCTGACTCTTCCTCTTACATCTCATAGCAGCCCCTCTGACTCTTCCTCTCACATCTCATAGCAGCCCCTCTGACTCTTCCTCTTCCTCTTCCTCTCATAGCAGCCCCTCTGACTCTTCCTCTCACATCTCATAGCAGCCCCTCTGACTCTTCCTCTCACATCTCATAGCAGCCCCTCTGACTCTTCCTCTCACATCTCACAGCAGCCCCTCTGACTCTTCCTCTTCCTCTCATAGCAGCCCCTCTGATTCTTCCTCTTACATCTCATAGCAGCCCCTCTGACTCTTCCTCTCACATCTCATAGCAGCCCCTCTGACTCTTCCTCTTCCTCTCATAGCAGCCCCTCTGATTCTTCCTCTTCCTCTCATAGCAGCCCCTCTGATTCTTCCTCTCACATCTCATAGCAGCCCCTCTGACTCTTCCTCTTACATCTCATAGCAGCCCCTCTGACTCTTCCTCTTCCTCTCATAGCAGCCCCTCTGATTCTTCCTCTTACATCTCATAGCAGCCCCTCTGACTCTTCCTCTCACATCTCATAGCAGCCCCTCTGACTCTTCCTCTTCCTCTCATAGCAGCCCCTCTGATTCTTCCTCTTCCTCTCATAGCAGCCCCTCTGATTCTTCCTCTCACATCTCATAGCAGCCCCTCTGACTCTTCCTCTCACATCTCATAGCAGCCCCTCTGATTCTTCCTCTCACATCTCATAGCAGCCCCTCTGACTCTTCCTCTTACATCTCATAGCAGCCCCTCTGACTCTTCCTCTTACATCTCATAGCAGCCCCTCTGACTCTTCCTCTTACATCTAATAGCAGCCCCTCTGACTCTTCCTCTTACATCTCATAGCAGCCCCTCTGACTCTTCCTCTCACATCTCATAGCAGCCCCTCTGACTCTTCCTCTTCCTCTTCCTCTCATAGCAGCCCCTCTGACTCTTCCTCTCACATCTCATAGCAGCCCCTCTGACTCTTCCTCTTCCTCTCATAGCAGCCCCTCTGACTCTTCCTCTCACATCTCACAGCAGCCCCTCTGACTCTTCCTCTTCCTCTCACATCTCACAGCAGCCCCTCTGACTCTTCCTCTTCCTCTCACATCTCATAGCAGCCCCTCTGACTCTTCCTCTCACATCTCACAGCAGCCCCTCTGACTCTTCCTCTTCCTCTCATAGCAGCCCCTCTGACTCTTCCTCTCACATCTCATAGCAGCCCCTCTGACTCTTCCTCTCACATCTCATAGCAGCCCCTCTGACTCTTCCTCTCACATCTCACAGCAGCCCCTCTGACTCTTCCTCTTCCTCTCATAGCAGCCCCTCTGACTCTTCCTCTCACATCTCACAGCAGCCCCTCTGACTCTTCCTCTTCCTCTCACATCTCATAGCAGCCCCTCTGACTCTTCCTCTCACATCTCACAGCAGCCCCTCTGACTCTTCCTCTTCCTCTCATAGTAGCCCCTCTGACTCTTCCTCTCACATCTCATAGCAGCCCCTCTGACTCTTCCTCTCACATCTCATAGCAGCCCCTCTGACTCTTCCTCTCACATCTCACAGCAGCCCCTCTGACTCTTCCTCTCACATCTCATAGCAGCCCCTCTGACTCTTCCTCTCACATCTCATAGCAGCCCCTCTGACTCTTCCTCTCACATCTCATAGCAGCCCCTCTGACTCTTCCTCTCACATCTCATAGCAGCCCCTCTGACTCTTCCTCTTCCTCTCATAGCAGCCCCTCTGACTCTTCCTCTCACATCTCACAGCAGCCCCTCTGACTCTTCCTCTTCCTCTCACATCTCATAGCAGCCCCTCTGACTCTTCCTCTCACATCTCACAGCAGCCCCTCTGACTCTTCCTCTTCCTCTCATAGCAGCCCCTCTGACTCTTCCTCTTACATCAGTTTGTTAAATAATACCTGGTGAATGAGATGACCTCTGGAGGCGACCTGCTGAGGAGAAGGTCTCTGGGACCCACACAGCTGGTAGAGACACTTTGTAAAAAGTCCTTATAAATATATCTCTCTGTTCTCTGTCCATGTATTCACACTAGCTTTAGTTTGCTTGCCACTGTTGCCTTCGGCCTCTTAACGCTCCTCTTCATCGGACTCTTCCTCGCTTCATCTTATGCTTCCTTTGTGTGGAGATGTGTAGGCTTTACCTTCCTGACGTCCGTCTGGAACTCAAAGGGGAGAGAAATAAAGATCTGTCCCCTTGAGACCCTCAGAAAGTGGATCCTCACTCTTCAGAGCGTTCCCTGTAGCCACGCATCGTCTGTGATATTCCAGTCTCCACAGGAAGAGGAGATGCAGCACGTCTCCAGTGTCCTCTGCAGCTTCCTGGACTGCTTTCATTCACTAAGCCTTTCTGTTCATACATGGAGATGATTACACTGTGTGGAAGAGTTTCATTCATGAGGACTCTTTAAAGTAGAGACACTACATACTGATATACACCTGAACATCAGCAGGAGAGAACTCTTTAAAGTAGAGACACTACACACTGATATACACCTGAACATCAGCAGGAGAGGACTCTTTAAAGTAGAGACACTACATACTGATACACACCTGAACATCAGCAGGAGAGGACTCTTTAAAGTAGAGACACTACATACTGATATACACCTGAACATCAGCAGGAGAGGACTCTTTAAAGTAGAGACACTACATACTGATATACACCTGAACATCAGCAGGAGAGAACTCTTTAAAGTAGAGACACTACACACTGATATACACCTGAACATCAGCAGGAGAGGACTCTTTAAAGTAGAGACACTACATACTGATATACACCTGAACATCAGCAGGAGAGGACTCTTTAAAGTAGAGACACTACATACTGATATACACCTGAACATCAGCAGGAGAGGACTCTTTAAAGTAGAGACACTACATACTGATATACACCTGAACATCAGTAGGAGAGGACTCTTTAAAGTAGAGACACTACATACTGATATACACCTGAACATCAGCAGGAGAGGACTCTTTAAAGTAGAGACACTACATACTGATATACACCTGAACATCAGCAGGAGAGGACTCTTTAAAGTAGAGACACTACATACTGATATACACCTGAACATCAGCAGGAGAGGACTCTTTAAAATAGAGACACTACTTACTGATATACACCTGAACATCAGCAGGAGAGGACTCTTTAAAGTAGAGACACTACATACTGATATACACCTGAACATGAGCAGGAGAGGACTCTTTAAAGTAGAGACACTACATAGTGATATACACCTGAACATCAGCAGGAGAGGACTCTTTAAAGTAGAGACACTACAATACTGATATACACCTGAACATCAGCAGGAGAGGACTCTTTAAAGTGAGACCCTACAACCTGATATACAACCTGAACATCAGCAGGGAGAGAACTATTTAAAGTAGAGACACTACACACTGATATACACCTGAACATCAGCAGGAGAGAACTCTTTAAAGTAGAGACACTACACACTGATATACACCTGAACATCAGCAGGAGATAACTCTTTAAAGTAGAGACACTACACACTGATACACACCTGAACATCAGCAGGAGAGGACTCTTTAAAGTAGAGACACTACATACTGATACACACCTGAACATCAGCAGGAGAGGACTCTTTAAAGTAGAGACACTACACTGATATACACCTGAACATCAGCAGGAGAGAACTCTTTAAAGTAGAGACACTACACACTGATATCACCTGAACATCAGCAGGAGAGGACTCTTTAAAGTAGAGACTACATACTGATATACACCTGAACATCAGCAGGAGAGGACTCTTTAAAGTAGAGACACTACATACTGATATACACCTGAACATCAGCAGGAGAGGACTCTTTAAAGTAGAGACACTACATACTGATATACACCTGAACATGAGCAGGAGAGGACTCTTTAAAATAGAGACACTACTTACTGATATACACCTGAACATCAGCAGGAGAGGACTCTTTAAAGTAGAGACACTACATACTGATATACAC